TGATTTACAGGCTCACAGACATTCACAAAACCTGATCATCATACCTCTTCACCCTGGGGGTTAATATACCAATAAGATAATCTTACTGTGGAATAATTTTTTACTCTATAAACATACCTGGTAAATTTCACTTACCTGAGGATTTCATTTTACAAAAGTTAAATTTTCTGGTTCCAGGGAGGATGGAATGCACAAGTTGGGGAGGTAAGTGGTGACATCACCCATAAAATAACTAAATGTTGTCTTATAAATGTATGAAATTTATCTAACCTATTAACTAAGCTCCTCCTTCTCTTGGTGTTCTTCAAAAATACCACAAATAATTTAAATTGATTCGCTGCTAGTTGATGAGTGAATTGTGATGCTAAGATGGTAAATTCATTGACATGGCATCATAACTAACTCAGCAAGAAACAAATTGTATAAACTATGTGATGATTGCTAAATGACACCAGAAGTGGGAAAAGCTCAGTCAATAGGTCAGCTGCTAAGTCACCTTTAAATGTCTATGGCACTTACAATATTTAGGACAAAATGGATGTTGTAGATAAAGTTCACCAGTTAAAATGTAAAGGCAATAAGTAATTGATGATGCATAAAATTTAGAAATACAGTCTACTTTTACTCCTCTCCTAAGTTTGTGTTGAGCTGATCAAAGGATAAAAATACCATTAAAGGGTGAAATAACAGGGAAGTAACAATGATAAACATAATACTACATATATCAGTGAAAACATACATAAATGTATTAATGTGTACTGTACTGTATATGCATACAGTATGTCTCTCCATCTACAGTATAATAAGAGACTTTCAGTGTTTTCTTTATGGTTCTAAAACCTATCCATACTTATGTGTTTGGAGGGTAAGTACAGAATTGACTTTACACCTTGGCTGACCACTGATTAATTGCCTGGTCGGTATGTTTCGGCAGGTGGGGGAGGGATGGACACAGGGAAGTTGCCGATTAGGAATTTTGAGGCTGTCAGTCTGTGTGGCTTATAAGTGGAGTGGACTGTACATATCACACTGTGCTGGCAGTCTCATGAGTGTGGAAGGTACAGTATGCTCCCACCAAGACATATGAACAATGGAATGGAATGTCTACTGTTTCAGCAAATAAAGTACAGTACAGTACAGTAATTGGAAAATGAAATAAATAATGAAAAGCCAAAGTTGCTACAAAAATATGCAAAACAAGAAAAGAAGATCAACTTACCTCATAAGCAGAATAAGTTTATCATACAACTATGAAACACCAATGAGTATTTATACTAGCTATTGTGATTTTGTTCATTACTCTGCTACTACAGTATGTATGGCAATGCTTTGTACATTATATAGGAATTTGATTATCATGTTTTCAATAAAATGTTTACAATCACCTGACCCATTTATTCCTCATTCTCCCTGCACTCTCATTTTTGCTGTGATCTGATAGGGTTATGTTATTAAACTTCAATAATGTAGTTTTCTTGTCATTATTATTATCATTACCAGTATTATTATTAAGAAGATTGCAATATGTAATCCACAGTACAGTACAGTATACACAGCATTTATATTTAAATATCTTACTACTGTACCTGATATATTGGTATTTAAAATAGTAATTTATGACATACATACTATATGGACAGGTACAGTGTACTAATAGTTTTCTCATAAAGTGTGCTTTGGGGAAATAATACTTTTACTTTTATCCTCTTCGCCACTGATAGGCTCATTAGCCGCTTGGGCAGTTGGTTACGACTCTGTTATGCACTGTTGGCAAGTACTGGGCATGCACTGGTTCCTGAACGTATTTGAACTTGCTCCAGTGTTGGTCAAGTCTGGCCTTGAAACAGTTCACACTCGGTGCCATCACAGGACTCTGGCAGATTGTTACAAGAGTTCACAAATCTCAATCCAAAAAAGTTAGCCCTCACAGTTTTCTGGACATGCGGCTTCTTTAACCTTGAGCTGTGAACCCTTGTGGGGCGGGTGTTTGCCAGCTCCAGGTATGTACATTTGACTGAGTAGTACCCCCTGAGATGCTTATGTACCTCAATTAGGTCACCCTTCACCCGTCTGTAGTACTGTATAAGCACGGCAGTTGCAGGCGCTCTAATCTCTCTGGATAGCTGAGGCACCAGTCTGGTGGCCTTCCTTTGGACATTTTCAATCAGACAGGGTGATAGTACTCCAGGCGGAGAAGCACCTCACTCTTGTAGATCGTTAAGAGGGAATGACCGTCTAGATATCTGAACGACCTTCTTATATGACCTAATAATTTAGTTGATTCACCTTCTTCCCACAATGGCCCGAGAACTTCAGTTCATTGTCAACATACACATATACTGTACATATAATGTGTGTGTGTGCGTGTATAATTACAGTCTCGGTATACACGCATATTTTATAAGCGGTTGGTCATTCACGCGGCACCTGTCCAGACGCGGCAATTATTAGTTACGCGGTACATTCCTGAATTTATGCGGGAAGCGGCGCGGATAGCCTGCGTGCTAGGTCGCTCTTACGTCACCGCTGACATCAGATGACGTTTCGGACTGTGATTGGGCCACGCATCCCCTCCGCCGCGAGCTGTGATTGGTCTATTTAACCTTGCTTGCCCAGCCAACAAAAAATTACCGAGTTCTTCACCTGCCACCCACCACACCCAGCCCAAGTCAGTGATAGTGAGGATATGGACTTTAAGGGGTTTGACAAGGAGGCCCTGCTAGCCTCTGGTGGATAGTGATACAGGTGATACAAGTGATACAGGTGAGGGCCAATAATCTGCCCTCTGCCCTATGTGCCCAGCCATCTCTTCTACTAACGTAAGTGTTAAAAAACCTAATATTATTGATATTTCTCTTAAATATTAATTGTGTGCATACCATCATAAAATTAAGATGTTATTTTTACTACAACGTATGTACAGTATTGTGTCGGAAAAAGGGTAGTCTGGTGGTCGGCCCAGTCTCTATTTCAATTAATCCCATATGTTCTGTTATTTCGTTTACGCGTTTCGCGTACCTACATGGGTTTAATTGACCGCGTAAAACGAGACTATACTGTGTGTGTGTGTGTGTGTGTATTATATATATATATATATATATATATATATATATATATATATATATATATATATATATATATATATATATATATATATATATATATATATATATATATATATATATATATATATATATATATATATATATATATACTGTATATATATTTAATTAGCCCAATAAAGCACGCGGACTTCTACATATAATCAACACCTCACCCCGCCAGGATTCGAACCCACGGCCCAAGACTGTGACCGGGGAACTCTACCTCTAGACCACCAGGATACTAAAAGCAGTCCTAGACTCTGCTATACAGTATATATTTCTCTTATTATGTTTTTCCTTTAGAATTTATATTAATTTAGATATTTTAAAAAACAAAGGAGGAAATAAAAGGACGATATAGAGGTTATGAGAACATCACTCAGGTGTACGGAGTCAGCAGAGCATAAGTGACCCATGCCAATACAGTGGTCCCTCGGTTAACAAACACAATTTGTTCCAGAAGGTCGTTCGTTAACCGAATCCATTGTTTCAATGGGATATTGGGTAATTAGTTCCAGCTCACCGAAAAATACATACAAAGTAAAAAAAAAAAAAATGCAGTAAAGTACACTTACTTTGAGGTGTGTATGTAGAAGGCTCCTGGTTGATGATGATATGGGAATTAGATGTGGGGGTGGAGGAGAAGGGAGAAGAGAAGGAAGTGGGGATGGAGGAGAAGGGAGAAGAGAAGGAAGTGGGGATGGAGGAGAAATCACCTTTCAGGGGACCCATGCTTGATGCAGTCATTTCACCAACAAAATTTTAAGTTCACTAGGTGTAATTCAAGATTATATTCTTTAAATCAACACTGCACTGCGCTATATATTATCAATATGTTAACTAAAGTTCAGAATGACCAATAATTTCAATGAAAAATGCAAAAATATTCAAGACACCAACAAAATAGATGCTCTCTCCACTGTTTTCAAAGCCCAACTGACGCCTTGTGGCTGACTCAAGCATCTGATGGGCGCACAACAAACTAGTTCCCTGTACTGCATATATTATATTATCAATATGTTAAACAAATGTTAAAATGACCAATCATTTTGATATAAAACATGCAAAAATATTAAAGAGCACAACTTTATTGATATTTACTCATCAGCTGATGCTCACAACAAAACATGATTTTCGTAAGGAATTCGTTAATCAAATTTTTGTTCGTTAACCGAATTGAAGATTCTCATGGAAGGTAATTCGTTAACCGAGGGACCACTGTATCTGGGTGTAAAATTGGTTGATTAATAGGATACTCAGAATCGATGATAGAAAGGAAAGAAAAGAACAGAAAACAAACTTAGTAGATTCATCTGGGTTATATGTTTGTGCCCATATAAAATGCATTAGAATAAGTGCAATACTTCTGTTGCAATAATAATTATGGCCCTGTCTGAACTTAGCACGGAGTCCTAAGGTCAAATGTTCCAGCTGGAAACTTGCTGCCCAGTGTTCTTACAGACAAAAAGGTTAGTGGCACTGAAAACATATCCTGCAAATAATTGTTGCATTCACTATACAGTACAACATTAAGTGGTGCCATGGGCACAGAGAACACTAGCACCACTACTGTATTCACGGTGATATGATAGTGCTGTCAACGATGAGGCAAAAACTTTGAGATAATTAGTACCGTTTACTTTACAAATCAGACAATGGGTAATAAACCTACTTGAGGAGAGAAGTACTGTACAATGATGTTGTAACACTAACTAAGTAATTCTAAAATAAACTTTCTCAAATAATATGAACAATGCATCCAGGACTGGGATAGCTATGTCGGGAGTTTTTATCTGAATAAACTCAAATTTTTTCGGCACACAAGATGGTGGATATCAGATAAATAAACCTAAGGGTTGAATCTACTGTACTAAACAAAATACCGACTTCACTAACCAGCATAATCAGTGGCATTTACGTCTGCCCCCTGAGATATTAGCTGAGATATTCGTTCAGTGTCTCCTTTGATGGCGGCCACATGCAGAGGAGTCTCACCCCGTTCATTACGTTTGTTGACACCACGACCAAAATTTGGAGTGTTGGGGGTGCGGGGACTATTTGAGCGGTTCAACTCTGCTTTGTCTGAAAAAATAAATAAATAAAAAATAAAAACAAATAAAAATAAATAAATAAAATAAACAAGGAATTACAACTGCACCTTAGAGAGCTCATTCTTCTGGATACTATTGTAATTAAAATTTAAGTACAGTACAGGTGCTGTAATGAGATTTCATCTATACTATAGTGCATTGTTTCCCAGCTGAGAAAAGATGCCCCACCCCGTCCTCAAGAGTTACAGCTGATTGGCTGTTGCAAATCTGTTCGGTTTTGTCCTGAAGTAATGGTGTATTTTTAAATGAGTTTATTCATAATCGTTGGGATGACCGTTTCTGACGAGAAAGATATTTAGCTAAATCTGAAGTTGTTCACAGTTATATTTCCCGCCTCTGGTGACAGCTGTTCGCTCGAGCGGCCAAGTCTGTCGGACTCATCCACCAATTTTCAGAGGCCGTGTAATATTTTTTAGTGTGATTCTGATCTTTTAAAGTGTTAGTTTTTGCATAATATAGTTTTACTGATACGTAATTTCTCTTAGTATGCCTTATTGTAAGTAAAAATAAGTACAGTATATATTAAATGCTTCCTCTGAAAGCGTGAATTTGTTACCAGAGTTTAACAGTTAATTCATGTATAAGATTTCTGATAAACTTACTACGTGCTCCTGTTTGAAATAAGGAATATATGTATCTTTATATAATTTAGTAAATATCTTTCTTGTCAGAAACGGTCATCCCAACGATTATGAATAAACTCATTTAAAAATACACCATTACTTCAGGACGAAACCGAACAGATTTGCAACAGCCAATCAGCTGTAACTCTTGAGGAGGGGGCGGGGCATCTTTTCTCAGCTGAAAAAAAACCCGCACTATACCAGAGCAGGGAGAGCATACAGGAAGAACAAGCCCTGAGAACCAGGATGCATCAGAATTAGGGTGATGGCAGGTTCATGGTAAAAAGTAACCTAACTGTGGACAATGAGTTGAAATATACACAAGTGGAAAATCAAAATGGTAGCTAATAGTGATCAAACAGTATAAGAAGTATAGTATAAAAATTAAATACAGTAAGGATAGGAATACTGTACTGTATTAAGTACAGTATATGATGAATCACTTTTAGCCATGAATGTCTAGGATTAACTTGGGGTTCAACTCATGGACTTCAGAAGGGAGCATTAGGTTACTGTATAAGCAGCAGAACAAGGAATAGGTCAGAAACTACAACATAAGGTTACAATTTGAAAAAGGGAAAGGACTATGAAGCAGAATAAGAGCATATTCATTCTTAGTATCCATTCTACTATAACTAGGCAGTGCAAAACATACCTTGAAAAGACTAAGTGAGAAGTGGCCTTACATAAATATCTGAAAGTAACTAACCTGGAGGTGAGGGCGAGGACATCTGCATAAGAAGCGCGATCTGTTGCCTCTCAGACATGGGCATGACTGGCCGGCTGGGAGTACGGTGGGTGGTGGATACATCTTCAGCCCACCCCACCATTGTCTTCCCCACACCGACACTTTGACACCCTCCAACACTGTTGCTATTGTTGGTAATCTTCTGGCTACCAATATTGATACTGTTGGAGGTGTCAGTCAAGCCCACGTGTTCACCGTGATTTTTGCTTTTCAATTCGCCATCAGCTGTTGACACAAATTAAAAATTAAACAAATGAGAGGCAGATTACCTGATATAACAAAAAAATTCCATATCAAGGGATTTACGACAAGAAAAATCTGTTTTTATTGTGGTAAACTTGAAAATGAAACAAGACAGTCACCTGCTACAGTATTTAAACTCAAGTTTTTTCTTACCCTTATCCTCTTTGTTAAGAGGATGCCCCTCTGCCCTCATGAGTAATGGCTATAGTCCATTCACTCGAAATTTGCAACTGAAGCTTATGGTTAGTTTGTAACAAGGCAACTGATTGACTAGTGGACAGACACCTGAAGAGTCACTAGAGTTCTTCAGTATTTAATCTATCGTATTTATATTCTGATATTGTAAGGGATTACTGTATAACTTAGTTCTTTCGTAATTTGTTCACTTGGGAAGTAAATATTAACTTGTGAAACACCATAAAAATAACAAGAAAAAGATTTCAAAATATCAGCGACATCTTCCACCTCGCTCTGTGACATCAGCAGCGAGTCAGAATTTACGGCGTAAATGCAGACTACCGGTATACTGTAATCTAAAGCTAGAAAAGTATTCATGAACAATGAGCCAAAACTATACATAACTATAAGTAAAACAAATCCCCCAATGAACACCAAGAAGTAGACAGCAATACAACAGCACAAGTTGTATTCATAAGAGATCTTGATGACATGAAAAATAATTTAGAAACACTTTCAACATATCTAAACAAGACAAGGATGAGCATCATGATGGTTGACTATGACACAGTACAGTACCTGGTTCATTTTCCTTTTGTTCCTTGCTGGCATTGAAAAGCTTGCGCTTGGAGCTGACTGGCCTCACCATTGTGGTCACCCATCAGGCTGCAAAAAGAAAAACCAAAGTTTAAGTTTGTTTGAGATATCACCCTAAAAAATTATTGGCTTAATGTGAATCACTAAATGTGTCACCTTCTCAAAACTGAAGGCTAATGGATGGTGGTGTTAAGTGGCAGGGATGAAGGTGAAGCATCGAGACAAAAAATTTATACTGTAATACCTTCACATGTGGCTGTAGAATATAATTAACGTGGTTATCAAATACCCGGTATACTTGAACTCACATGGTCACGAGATTTCAACAATCAAATAAATACAGTATACAATAACTTTTGACTTTTAATACAGTACCATTGCTGGAAGGCTCTCACAAGTTCTAGCCAAATACAGCTGGTCTTTTCCCAAGATCTTGTTTCTAAGAATACAGGGAATTTATCATTTAATTGTGTGGTTGATATTTGACCTCACTTGCATCGTCAGCCTCAAATTGAAAGATATATATATATATATATATATATATATATATATATATATATATATATATATATATATATAAACTACCCCAAGTTTGTATAAAAAACAGATCTGAACTGTATCAGAAAATATAACTCATGGCCACCAAGATCCTCTACTTAGGGGATATCAATGTACCTGTACAGTACATCACAGAGAGTGGCTTGGCTCTGCAAGGGATGACCCAGGTGGAGTTTAGGCACTCTCCTTTTCCTTACTTAATGATCTGGAACAAATAATCAAACACCTTACATGTGTTCCTGGTCGACTCAACCAACTTGCTAACATTCTTGATCTTTGTTTTACCTCTAACTCCTCACACTATTCATACTGAATATCCATCCTCTTGGAGTCTTCTGATCACAATCATATTTCTATTAAATCAAACTAGACGCAACCACCTCCCCCACCCTAGGATGAATGTTGTCTTTCCACTCGGGATGCTTCGGTATGTGCTGACAGCATTGCTGGGGTTATACTTGGTCTGAGTGCATCTATCCCATCTACTACCAAAACTTTCACTTTACAATCATGGTTTGATCACTCCTGTTCTCTTGCATGTAGGGAGGGAGATAGGGCGCACCAAGTTATAAAACTATCTCCTGTTACCCACTCCTCTTTCATTACTTCTAGGAATCGTTGTAACGCTATTCTTCGTAGGGCCTAACCTAACCTGACTAACTCTTCTTTGTGTAAAACTTTCTGGTCCTTAACCAAAAACATCTGTAATAACTTCTGCACTCCCTCTTTTCCAACCTGATAACTAGAGCCAACTCTCCCTCTGATAAAGCTAATCTCTGGCACCTTATTTTCCACTAACTCCACTTTAGACAATTCCAACCCTATCCCTTCTACTGAACCTATGCACTTTCCTATAATCTCCAATTGTAAGGTTGCTGGTGTGTTATCCAATCTGGATGTGAGTAAGGCGCATGGACCGGACAGAATATCCCCTCGTGCTCTGAGGGAGTGTACTGATGTTCTGGCCCCTGTGCTTGCTCGCCTCTTTTTACCTTTACCTCAAAGCCCAACTTTTCCTTCTTCTTGGAAGCATGCCTCGGTTCAGCCCATCCTGAAGAAGGGCGACCATACTAATCCTCTAACTATCACCCCATTGCCTTAACTTCACCCCTCTCTAAGATTTTGAAACTAACCTTAATTCTCATTTTCTCCGTACCCTTGAATGCCTTTCTCTTTTGTCGGATCACCAGTATGGCTTTCGCCAGGCGAGATCTACTGGTGATCAGCTCTCCTACTGCACCCATCTTTGGTCATCCTCTCTTAGGGATTACAGGGAAGCCTTTGTTGTGGCCCTAGACATCTCCAAAGCATTTGACAGGGTATAGCACAAGTCTTTGCTTTATAAACTTTCCTCTTATGGTTTCTCTCCTCCACTTTGTTCTCAAATTTCTAGCTTCCTTGAGAACCAATCCATGGCAGTTGTTGTCAAGGGATCGATCGATCGCTCTTTCTGGACCAATAGTGGTGGTCCACAGGGGTATCTTTTTATCAATGATTTGCTTCACTCGACTACTAATTCTATCCATTATTATACTGATGATTCTACTCTTCGCTCTTCATCTCATTTTTCCCTCCCCCCTAACTCTCAAACTAGATCTGTTTCAAGAGATGATATTGTTTCATCTATCAATGCGTACAGTGATCCCTCAGTTAACGAATTACCTTCCATAATCTTCAATTCGGTTAACGAAAAAAATTCAGTTAACGAATTCCTTACGAATTCTTCTCAACATGTTTTCGCTTGCTCTCCAGTTGGAATATTAGTCCGCCAATACAGTAATCGGTTCTAGGGCTTAAATTCGTTCCCATTTGAGTAAATATCAAGAAGGTTGTACTATTCAATAATTTTAAAAGTTTTAAATTAAAATTTTTAGTCATTTTAACAATTATTGAACATAATTGAAGTACAGGAAACTAGTTTTTAGCACGCCAAACAGTCACTTGACTCACCCAGCAGGCGTCAGTTTGTGTCTCTGCTCAGTGGAGGTAACATCTTACTTGAGACTCTCTTGAATCTAAACTATTTTACTATTTTTACATTTTTACAGTACATTTATTGGTCATTCTGAAATTTATCTTACATATTGACAATATATAGAGCAGTGCAGTGTTGATTTAAAGAAAATAATCTTGAATTACACCGAGTGAACTTAAAATTTTATGGGTGAAATGGCAGCATGAAGCATGGGGTGATTTCTCTTCCACCCCCACTTCCTTCTCTTCTCCCTTCTCCTCCACCCCCACTAATTCCAATCATCATCATCATGTGTCCGCAGCGTCTCACCTCCCTCTGTTCACGCTCACCCAGTGCCTGTGACCCAGCATCTTGTGTTGTACTCTCAAAACTTTAGTGTTTTTTTGTGAAAATGGCCCCTAAAAGACTGCCTTGTGTCAGTGCTAGTGATATTATGTTATGAAATGTAAAAGGCAAATGTCAGTGATGACACTGACAAAGAAAGTTGAATTATTAAGACAAGTTAAAGGAAGGGATGAGTGCTGGTAGTTTGGTGTGAACGAATCCACAGTGCAATATTTAAAGAAAAATTACCAAACAATTCATGATTCTGTTCAAGAGAGTGCTCCTGCAAGTGCTAAAGTGGAGCAGGTTGCTCATGATGCAAACATAGTAAAAACAGAGAAAGCACTGAACATATGGGTTGAGGACCAGCACCGCAAAAATGTTCCGATTGACAGCAACATGATTCATGACAAAGTTAAAAGTCTTTATGCTCATTTTTATGAGTCAACAGGTGGTGAAGGGGCTAGTGCGGCTACTGAACCAACTTTTAGTGCCAGTAAAGTCTGGTTCGAGAATTTAAAAAAATAGATTCTCTCCCCATAATGTGAAGCTGACCATACAGCCACAGATGCATTTCCCGCCAAGTTAAAGAAAATAATAGAAGAAAAAGGCTATAGACCAGAGCAAGTGTTTAATGCCAATGACCAATGAAACAGTTATCAGGTCAGAAGAGAGGAGGAAAAGAGGAAGAGCAGAAGTTATTATAGATGTTTCTGGTTAAGGACCAGAAGGATTTACTAGATGAGGAGTTAGTCAGGTTAGGTTAGGCTTGGCCCTAAAAGAATAAACTTTCATCAATTCCTAGAAGTAATGAAAGAGGAGTGGGTAACAGGAGATAGTTTCATAACTTGGTATGCCTTATCTTTCTCCCTACATGCAAGAGAACAAGAGTGATCGAACCATGATTGTAATGTGAAAGTTTTGGTAGTAGATGGGATAGATGCACTCAGACCGAGTATAACCCCAGCAATGCTGTCAGCACATACCATGGCATCCCGAGTGGAAAGGCAACATTCATCCCAGGAAAAGTAGAAGAATTCTCGCAAGGATTGCCAGTTTGCCATCTGACAGTGCCATAGTTGGCTTTTAGAGGGGGGTGGGGAGGTGGTCGTGCCCAGTTTGATTTAATAGAAATAAGATTGTGATCAGAAGACCCTAAGGGGGCAGAAATTGAGTATGAATAGTGTGAGGGGTTAGAGGTAAGACATAGATCAAGAATGTTAGTACAGTAAGTTGATCATGTCGATCAGGAACACGTGTAGGGTGTTTGATTATTTGTTCCAGAACATTAAGTAAGGAAAAAGAAAGTGCCTTAGCTCCACCTGGGCCATCCCTTGTGGAGCCAAGCCACTCTCTGTGATGCATAGTCGGGGTCAAAAGCCATGAACACTTAGCAATATCTGGCATCTAATTGTGAGTCATTCGTATATGATTGGGTGTTACTTGTCATCACATATTATGCCTGAACCACTAAATGGGATAAAACTCTCCTTTATACCTAAGATCTTTGGGTACTTACATGCCAAATACTGTCAAGTGTTCAAGACTTTTGACCCCGACTGTACATTGAGATCCCCTAGGTCGAGGATCTCGGTGTTGGGGTATGTTTGATAGCAATGACTCATGGCAAGAAGTGAGATATTCAAAGAATTCTAAATAGTTGGTACAGTTGGGAAAACAGTATAGGAAACATAGAAAAATAGTCATAGTTGGTAGAGATATTTTGAGCCAGATGACATCATAAAGAGAAGATTCAAGGTCCGTGAGTCGAGCTATAGGTGTACGTGTGCTGCAGTAGGCGCATACACCTCCCTTAGAACGGAAAGAGGTACTGTATAAAGGCTATACTGTAGTTGGAGACTTGAAAAGGTTTGGGTGAAGCTGCTTTGGTCAGTTGAAGTTCAGATAGTAGTAAAGGATCAGGAGAAGAGGTTAATAGATGGTGCACCACAGAAGGAAAATTGGATCTCAGGTCGAGAACGTTTGAAAAATGAAGTGTGAAAAATGCCAATCCTCCAGCAACCGCCATGATGTCAGTTGAGGCCCCAGTAGTTTGATGACGATCAGGTCGGCCCTGGGATCAACAACCTTCCCGACCAGTGGGCCCCATCCGAGAAGGCCCCGCTTTAATATTATTGCCAACTGATTTCATAGGAGAACAAAACACTAAAAAGAATAAAACAGACCAAGATGAGAGCCATTACATCTCCACTGCTTCAGTTAATACATAATGAAGATCCAAAGCCCTTGAAATGGTGACAAAACGGGTAAAAAAGAGTGACGAAATGGGTAAAAACTGTGGTGATGAAACGGGCACACCCCCTCCGCAGATACCCCCCACACCATTCACCTAAACATTACCATCTTCCTACCTATCAACTTCACCTTTGACAAACTTAACAAAAACCATCAATGCATTACAGGAGTACTACTAAATTTGGTTGTTAGCTCAGTGACCCAAGATCTCTCTCAGGTCAGCTGTCAAAATGTAAACACGTCAATTAAACTTATATGAACCCACATAAATAATCTCTAGGAATTATCTAAGTATAAGTACCATATAGTAGTTAAGCTTAAGCTACACACTAAATACCTCAGGAAGCTGCTGGAACGAGATATCTACAACCATATCCGGTGCATAAAGCTGACATCACTCTACATTACTTCACTATCTTTTACACATATAACAACATGTTTTAAGAGATCTGTGAGTTTCTGACCCTATTACTGATAACATGAATGCTCTGGTTGAATCTTAGAGTGTGGTACTTGCCTTTAGCATCATTAAATTGGAGAGAGGAGGTTTATAAACACCAGCAGCCAGCCACTGGACCCACAGCCTCAGGAGATACTCTCACGTTTTACTTCCTTCACCTTTAATTACATATTTTTCTAGCTTAAAATAATAACTTTTCAAAATCACCATTAATTCATAAATCCATGGGTGATATTTATACCATTTCTTGAATTTATAATCCACTTGAAATTATTGATTCTTTGGGAGGTTCGTTTTCCCGCGCTATCGGTCTGTTTTGGGAACTACGTCACAGTTAATGACGTCACAAACGAGGGTCGACCTGCGTGTCAATGGTATCGACTCATACCTGTTTATCTTAGTATGCAAATGAAGGTCACCTGCAGCGTACCTCATCTTTTAAAACATGATTTCTATTAAGGCTACTCAAAGAACAATACACATTAAGAGATAATGTTAGTGGATTTTCACGATAGGACTGAAGGGGTTGATTAAATATGGTGATTCTAATGGCTACTTGATTTTTAACCTACAGTATTGTACAGAATGCTGATAAGATAACATCATTCAGAGCCGGCTTTTCGTTACACATTAATGATGAGGTGAATATGAAAACACTTATCATAAATGAAACAAAATGAACTAACTGTATTGTGATGCAAGTCAATTATAGTTATTCAAAGTACAGTAACTTTTTTAATAGAGAATATTGTTCTACTGTACCAGATTGCTTCCTGTATTAGCTACATCCAAATTAGAATGCCTGAGAAGTGGACTGAACTAAACATTATGATGTATCGCATTGCACTTAATATCTTTGAAGCTTAAGGGTATCATTTCTCCAAGTAAAATATAAACAGATGTTCAAAGAATAGAAGAAAAACACCGGTAAAGTACTTGCTTTATTACATACACTTCAATTACTCATAAAAAGGGGAAAATATTGGCACTAGTTCAAAGCAAAGAAATATGTAACAAAGTACAGAATACTTAAAGTCACAAACTATTTCATTATGTATAAAATGGTAACAAGAAGTAATCAAAAATATTCATAAATCTGTCACATAAGCTGAAAATAAAACAAGGTAGATTGTAGCCCTGGAATGTGGTGCAATGTTATACTCCAATGATCAATATTATATAAGAAGAGTTCAAGTTCTCTTGTGCACATATTACTTAACCCTCTGTCACTGATCAGCTCATTAGTCTATACATACAGTAAACATTTTTGAGGAATAACTTCGAATCTTCAGGCAGTACAACCAGTTGCTAATTCCATTAAATTTATGGGGTAAAACTAATCCCTAGGACTGAGGGACTGGACTCATATTGTCAAATCTAAAGCTGTGACTTTGGTTTGGTTGGGTTAAGTCAGATTAAGTTCAGGGTAAGTTAGGTTAGGTTACATTTGGTTCTGGGTCCAAAGATTAGGGAGTCTCAGTATATTGTACAGTAAGAAAGACTAGGAATTTTTTGGGGGGGAATCTGAAACCCAGAATGTTAACGAGTTGCACTTGATGGGTATTATGCACCACACTGACAACACTGATGGCATCATGAGAGACAACAACTTATGCTCATAACAAGCCAATAACAACAATGAGAATTAGGTTTATTAGAGGCAAGACTATAATGTAACAATGGTCTTGATTGTTATAATAACATAACTGCCAGAGACCTTGATGCAGGGACACTGATGGACAAGTTTAAGAAACTTTCACTTTGTTGAAATGGTAAATGTTCTTAGTCCAAATTCTCTTACAGTATGTGTTTATATTGAAGAAATAATACTGTACTGTGAAGGAAAGATTTTGGTGAATTTACAATTTAGAGATTGGTTTACAAGAGGGATATCAACCAGAGACAGTCGTGAGTAACCCCTCGCAGTTATTTCCTAAAGAAACATGAACCAACTCTATTCTATTTTGTTTTTATTAAGGCACACTCAGCTTCTGTAGGCATTTCAATATCACTGAAACTATTGGTTTTCTACAACAAAGCGATACAAATTCATAGAAAAAATCACCATGTGAGAACTATGGTAAAAGTACAAGGTTAACTGATCAATCTCTCACAGGGCAATTTGCATTTCAGGCCAGAAAGCAAAAAAGAGGAGGAAAAAGACAATCGGCATAGCACAGGTTTTATAGGAAGAAGTGTATCCTTTTTTTCTGGCAATGATAAGCAAACTTGTAAAGTACATTAAAAAATTATTAACCAGGAGCTGATTAACCAGAATTTTGATTATCCAGGTAAGAAAATGTGTGACTAATGTATCAATATTAGTCACACATTTCACAAGAAAATAAATAACTCAAACTCATGGAATCTAATTTCCTACAGAACTAAAATAAGGAACATTATGGTCTAATAACTCAGGGACCCATGCTCATTATCCTGTGACTCAGTATTGGCAGTGTTATTCAAATGCTATGGGTAATCCAAATTGCAGGTCATCAGGTCCCAGCTAAACCTGATATAAATGCACTTATTTTGATTGATGAACAGCCTTCCATGTTAATGTGATAATTTTGAGAGATCAACTAAATTTGGAAGACTAGATCATAGCTGATGACTTAACACTAGAAGGCCAATAACCTAAATATTAAAATTAAAGTTAAAATTAATCTTACCCTAAATACTCTACAGATTAATATACTTTGGTGGGTTACACAAAAGAAAGGTCTCCAATACACAAACCTTCATAAGGGCAAGATACTTAGATATTAATGAAAAGCAGCACTGATTACCATCTTCAACATCATCATGACGTGGCACACTAGAGTCTACAATATAATTTTCCAACTACAGTATGCAAATTTGAGTTTAGCTACATCAACAAAATTAGCTTTAATTTTCACTGTACATGATGCCTCTGAGCTGAAGTAGCACAGCATCATTATGTGTAGACAACTTAGTACAAGTACTGTATTCTAGGGATTTAAACAGTAGGACAAATTCACATATTTTTGAACTTTATCTCATAAGCATTAATCCAGTATTTTACATGGAAAATTAAAGCATCAGTAACTCTTAAATGAATACAGTTATCATAATTACTTGCCACCTTTTTTTTTTACCTTTCCTTGCATTCTAGACAAAATGCCAAGACATTCTTCACTACACATGTTGGCTAATTACCGTCTTAACATGTTCAACTCAGCATCACCAGGTAAGAGAAATTACTGCACTCAAAACCTGTACTGTATATATTTTTGGCTGCCATTTAAGTGCAGTATTGCAATGTGCTTGCACATACAGTATGTGATGCTTTGATTGTGAAAATTCATTTTAAAACAGAGCTAGTGTGGGTGACCCGTAAATATGCATAACCAAGCTTTTAAGGGTTTTGCCATTTAACATTTAGGCCATGGCATCTCATGGTAATTTGAAGATCACATATTCCTCCGTAACAACTGTCATTCAAAATGAGAGATAGGAGGTTATAGTTTTCCCTGAAACAAGTGAGAGATCAGTGATGATGCCGTGCAGCTCATTCTTCTTCTGTATAGATTGCACCCCTTTGACTACCGTTATATCATAGACCAGATTTGCAGTAACAATGCTCATATTCCAGCCAATCTTTAAGACCATCTCAAGGAAGCCACTGAAATTTGGGTTGCTTCTCAATGACCCATAAATGTGTTCTCAGGATCAAACATTACTTTCTAAAGTAACACTAATTCAGAACAACTTGTGAATTAAAGCCAGCCATCAAAGAGAGTGGAGGTGGAAAGAAGTTGCAGGTGTTGTGTGGTACACACTTATTGGGTGTTTCCTTCATGCGTAAGAACATAAACAGGGACTCATCCTTCTAATACCCCAATACCTATAAGGATTCTGGTGGTTTATCAGCCAATGGGGTTGATTCACTCATACTTAGGAAGATGCTTCATGAAACAAGGACTCTAAATCTCCAGCAATCAGCCTTTTGTAACAAGTTCTAGAGATGTTAAAGTACCAGTTAACATGGATTATATAAACTATTGAACTTGGATGATACAGGTTCAGACCCATCACCAATAATTAAGTCACTAAAACTAGGTACAGTGTCCAGTGTACCTAAAGACCACCCTTGTAACCAGTAAAACTGAGGACAAGGGTATGACCCCTCCTATCAACTGCAACTTAATGTTGGAGAGGCAAGCTGAATGGGATTCAAAAAAGCTGATTCAGGAAGATAATCCACACCATGTAAGGCTAAAAAGAGGCCACTAGTGTAGAGATACCTAAGAAGTGCTCCAGTTTTAAGGTAACTTGCAGCATCTGTGAGAGGAACCAAATATCTGATGCCACCTATTCATTTAAGGAACATGCATCCATTCCATCACAAATAAAGATCTAGCCAATGAAAATACTGACCATAAAACACCCTAGATTTCTTCCAGTTCTATAAGATGTCTGACCTAGCCAACATGATAATTAACCATTGGGTATTACGATTAATTTCCAAAATTAATTTCTCGAGAGCCAAATTCATTATTAACACCTGGAAGTTTAGTATGAATTCTTAGAGCCACATGAAACCTGAAAATTGTCTTTTCAGACTAAAAGTTAATAATTCTCGACAATGTCTATAAAAACACCTCTTCAGGTCAACAATAATTGACCAAAGGTTCTTTATAAGCCTCATCTCATCTGCTGAATAGAAATCATCCTGAACTAGACATTACAAAGACATTTGTTTAGCTCTTCAAGGTCAAGAATGCTTCTATACACCCTAAGGCCTTTAAGCACATGATCAGTATGGAAACAAATTGAATGATATTCAATTACTGAAATACGTTCTTGTACAACGTATCAGTTAAAATTAATCCGACTAAACTACAGCCAGTTTATATTAGGTGCCCACAACACTAAGTAAGTTGGTTCCCTTAGACCACCAAAGCAGAACATTGTAAGTAGTTCATTACAAGTGTGAAAACTTGAAAAATTATATTTGAGGAGAAAAACACCCACTATTACCTTATACAACACCAGTAACTACATGATCCAATCTAACCTCAGTGCCAATGAGGCATGCATTTATTCTAAATACGAAAGGAGTCAGACAGACGAGTCTTTCTTCGGGAGGTTGAAGACTGGAGTGAACAGGGGGTTGTTACTGTGAACATGGTTTATGATATTGTAAAATGAGGTGTAACTTGAACATAAAAAAGTTGAGCTGCTTGATGTCACAACATATCACACTCCTACATCTTAGGGCACACCATGATATCTAATCTTTCATTCTGAGTGATGGTTTACAGAACAGTGTGTGATACAGAATTTCAATTACCACCTGTTGCCATGACCCAAGGGAAACTCTCGAAAAGTCTTGGTACACATATTCACGGGTCACTCTGAACTGGAGTCATTTATAAATATAAATACAGTATTCATAAATAAAAGAGTTACCTCAGCAATTATGCCCAGGAGTGAGAGCAGAAGTTGGAGGAGTACTAACACAGCAAGATAAATGGATTAACAATGCAGTAAGTGAAAAGTATCAATATCTACGGGCCAGTGTGGGACTGTAAGATGTGCCAGACCATTAAGTGGATTGAAATGTAAATATGACTATAAAAAATGTTTTCCCATGGTACAGAAATTGTATGCTATATTTAGAATCAAAATATATTACTGCACATTTGAAAACTAAAAAAACAAGAAAGTAATACTGGCATTTCTTTTCAAGGAAGTATTATGCTTATCATAGAAAGGAATACAGGGTATAATGATTCAAGTAAATCTTATATGAAGAGCAAAACACAATTATTGATCAAACATAGAAACACGACAATTATAAAGATCCATAACAAAAATGCCAATGCCACAATACTTGGCCCAGTGAAGATTAACAAAATGTCTACTCTGTACAGTGGTCCCTCGGTTAACGAGCACAATTCGTTCCAGAAGGTTGCTCGTTAACCAAAAAATTCGTTAACTTAAACCATTGTTTCAATGGGTCTTTGGGTAATTGGTTCCAGCTCACCGAAAATTACATACAAACTAAAAATAAATGCAGTAAAGTACACTTACTTTGAGGTGTGCATGTAGAAGGTTCCTGGTTGATGATGATGATGATGATGGGAATTAGAATGGGGGTGGAGGAGAAGGGAGAAGAGAAGGCATTGTGGTGGAAGAGAAGTCACCCCATGCCGCCATTTCACCCATAAAATTTTAGTTCACTTGGTGTAATTCAAGATTATTTTCTTTAAATCAACACTGCACTGCGCTATATATTATCAATATGTAAAATATATTTCAAGATGACCAATAATTTGACTGAAACACAGAAAAAAAGCATTTATGTTGAAGAGTCTCAAACAAGATGTTCCTTCCTCTGAACTGGTAAACAAACTGACGCCAAGCTTGGTGTGTTGAGTGGCTGTTTGGTGCGCAAAAACCTAGTTTCCTGTACTTCAATTATGTTCAATAATTGTTAAAATGACTAAAAAATGTAATTTAAAACTTTTAAAATTATTGAATAGTACAACCTTCTTGATATTTACTAAAATGGTAAGGAATTTAAGCCCTAAAACCGATTACTGTATTGGCGGACTAATACTACAGCTGGTGGGCAGCCAAATGCAGGCGAAAACATGTTGGGAAAAATTTGTAAGGAATTCGTTAACCGAGGGTTTGCTCATTAACCAAAGTGACGAATCTTATGGAAGGTAATTTGTTAACCGAGGCGCTCGTTAACCGAGGGATCACTGTACTGTAATGTAATCCTCACTGACCATAAGGTACTTGTTTACTTAAGTATTTACTAAACTTGATCCCTGAAATCTATGATACCCATGCACATGCACATCACTGCTCAAATAGTAATTAGAAATTAGTTCATGATCTTAATTATCTTATCAAATGAGAGATTTTACAAGGGTACAAATTATAACAATATTACTGTACTACAAATTTTATATTGATATAATACAGAAACTTGTGCAAAATCAAACACAGTATACTCTACAATAAAGTCTTAATTGGTTCTACTGGAGTATATTAATATTTGACTTCATCACAGGAAATATCAATTGATTTACTGTAGTCACTGTCTAATAGCAAAATGAAAAACAAATCCTGATTCTTGTTAGTGTTGCTGCTACTGATGAGATCCTCTTCTAAGCCAAATCACACAGTTTAACTCCCACAGAGTAAGTACTTGCCATTCCTTTCAGAAGCTTTTATTATGCTAATTGCTTATCTTGTCAACTGGCCTTTTTTAAATATTAATTATAGATTATTTTTTGTCCTGAAGTTGGGCTTGCATCCTCGCCATCATTTCTTGCATCTTACGGATTTGTGCCTCTTTTTCTTCTAATTCTATGGCCATACGGTCCTTCTCTGGTGCAGCAATTGATGTGGAATTACTGAAAAAAATATAAATAAATTACGTATCAATTACTTACACACACACACACACACACAGGCCAGCGATCAATGACCTCAAAACCATTCATAATTTGGGCCTTTATGGATCTCCTATAGATTAGCCCCAGGGTGGTAAAACTTGAAGCTGGTTAAGTTGAGGGGTAAAATTTGAAGCTGTTTAAGCTGAGGGGTAAAACTTCAGGCCATGACTTGGGGGGCACTAATCTTCAGGTGACCCATAAAAATTAAAATTGTAAAATTGTTAAAGACGGACGGACGCACGCACACAATAATAATAATAATAATAATAACCTTTCCCTTCTGTTACACTTTCATAAAAAGAATGACTCTGGTTAAAAAAGTAAGCAAGGGTGACAGGTAAGGATCATAATCCTCATGAAGTAAGGGGTCTGGGAGGCATAACCACTGGATGCTACTAAACTGTTGTTTCTTTTTAAAGGTAATGGAAGGATATTCTGATTTGCAAGTTTGAAAAGAATATTCAGCTTTGCTTATCTGAAGAGCCATTTTATTGATGTTAACTTTTCTTCATATGTGCCATGAACCAGGCTGCATATATCACTATCCCAAGGGTCAGTGACTGACTGTACTTCAGGAATACTGACTTTGAAAAGATTCAAACTATCTATGAAGTTATATGATCAAAGCGCCCTCAATACAACACTCACACTAGGTAGCCATCCAATAATCAAAGCACCCTCAACACAACACTCACACTAGGTAGCCAGCCAAGAATGGGTCAACTGGTCACATATGTAAACACTTTTGGTGGGAGGATTAAAGGTGGCTTTTAAAGTCTTCACATCTGTTTTATCTGTATTTTTGCTTTTCCTCACAATTACTTTGAATGTGTAACAAGATTCAATAACATGGAAGTGATTCAATAGCTATTTTGTAGTGATAGTGAACAAACTTTTTATATCATAATTCAATTATCAAATATCTAGACAGTGATTAGCTGCAAGTGTAGCTTTAAAATTTAATCATCACATTTGAAAATAATACTAATGTAGACTGTGTATATTTTCAACATACTTTTGTCTAGGAAAGGAATGGTCCTGGAAGGGAGGTGGCTTTGTGGGATTACTAAGCCACTTACAGACACAGTAAAATCTGTGATGACAAACTACTTTCTGGTGTATTTAATTTTGCTCAACAAAGTTTCGAGTCTAACGTATGGAAAATTCTGCATATTATTTATGTATAACTTATGTGTGATATTTTGGGATACTGAAGATTTAAGAATGTAAATTCTAATTTGTAAAGATAATTTGTTTACCTCTTAGCCACTTGGCAGACTACTGCATTATATGACTACCACAATCTATCATTGAATGATATAACAAGGCTTCCCTGTACTACTACTACCCTGGCATCTCTCTCCCTTTAGACAATACAACAACCACTGTTAAATCTAGTTCTTATGTACCTTACCGCTCAATCTGTTATCTAACATGGATTATGATGATACAGTACTCTATAGCACAGTATGTATATGGAATTAAGTATATATACAATTACTCTTTTGAGACACCCATGGAAAGGAAGATTTACTTACAATTGTTTTTTAGGTCCCAGTGAGTTTGTACTAGAATGAGAGTTATTGTTGGCATTGGGAGCAGCAAGAGGTGAACCACCACCCTTGGCTAACCTCTCCGACCGGTAGTTCTCATAATGTACATCTTGTGTCACCTCTGTCAGGTCCTGCATATGAGTTCTGATGAAAGAAAATCAAACATAAATATTCAATTCCCTTTAACAATCAAAACACGTAGCATTTAGATATACTGTACAGAGATTCATTACACTTGCACAGGATGCTGCTTGGCCATAAATATTGCCTCTGTAGTCCCCTTACCTGGTATAAATCCACACTGCATTTTACTTATGTCTATTCTCTCCCTTTTCAATTTCTCAATCACTCTTTCTACAACTTTCATTACCTGATCTAGCAGCTTCAGGCTCCTTTAGTTCCCATGTTCATGTGCATTATCTCTACCCTCAATTTCATTATGATTGCATTAGTCACTTCGGCCATCATTGACACGCCCTACATCATCTGATTCTTTCAGTACAGCTCCTCCCCGACTTACGACCTACTCGACTTACATCCACCCGCACTTACGACCTGCCTCAGTCGTACCAAAATTTGGTCAAATTACGTATTTTTGAGTCCCAAAGTCAGTACACAGACAAACTTTTCATCTGTAATTCACTTTAAAATGGCTGGCAAGCTTAAAAGTGAGTGTTTTGTGGTGCTGAGAAGAAAAAGAGACCCCCATTTTCGATTTTCTAAGTGTTATTTAAGCATTTCCGACTTACGACCTGGATGTCGGTCCCTAACCCCGTCATAAGTCGGGAAGCAGCTGTATTTCTACAACTATCCCAAAGCTGTCTTTCCATTCTTATTATTGTATTGTCAATTTCTTTCTCAATCCATTCTCTTTCAATCATTGGATATTGTCCCTGTACTGGATCTACTACCTCGAGGATGTCTGTCCCATTATTCCTAAATCTGTAATAAACAACAATAATGGCATATCTGCTCAGATAAGTGCTTATGAGGGTGGTGCCATTTACAATACAGTACAATATGATACTACTACTACTACTTCTAATAATAATAATAATAATTCTATTATTATACAGTCTCTCCTCGACTTACGACAACCCGGACATCCTAAGGCCATGATCACATAAAATATTTTTCACATTACGTATTTTCGAGTCCCGACGCTGAGTACCGATAAAATTTTAGTTTGTAATTCCCTTTAAAAAGGCTGGCAAGCATAAAAGTGAGAGTTCTCGTGGTGCTGAGAAGAAAAAAAGACACCCATTTTAGAATTTCTATGTATTATTTTTGCCTTTTCGACTTACGACCTGGTCGTCGGGATGGAACCCCATCGTAAGTCGAGGAGAGACTGTACTATTATAAGAGATTGTCATTATTGTTGTTATTAATGTGACTAAAATATTAATCACAACCTCTAAAGAAATAACTCCCTTGTATTCCTGCAGGCCTCATATTCACAACACAGCTATGTTCTCATTTCCACGATGACAAGGACATGTTATTGATGCTTATTTCTTGTACAATATTATCCTTGTGCAAGTTTATGGATAATTTAATATATTAAAATCAATAATGTACTTATCCCACTTATATTTAGGACTCATAATAAGAGACACTGGTGCCATCTAGTGCCAAAACTAGGCACCACGACTGAGAAACTGAGAGAAGTCATTAGATATTACAAAACTGTGAGACTTGGATATGTACTGTACTCTGAGGATGCCAAAATTGTGAAGGGAGGCCTGCAATTACCCTTGATTCTAGCCACTCTGCACTAAACAGGAAAAAGCTTAAAAAGAAAACACAGCACATGTAGTACTCAAGTTATTTTACAGATGGTAATAATTCCTTTTTACTGCAAACTTACTTATACATTTGCTTTGGATTTGTCTATGTAAATTCACAAGTTAACAGTGTGTTAACAGTTAAGTAGCACTCATATGGGCATTGGAAAAAAATTATAATTTATTCTTCTCCACAACTTACAGGATTTATCTACCATAACAGTGGACCTATGACCCAGATCAAAGGACAAAGGTTAAGATAACAAAAAAAAAAGTAATATTGTGCAGACAGAGGCAATGGTGGTCTATTCATTTCACTTCATGAAAATCTGAGTACATAAGACATAATATAATATAAAATCCTCTTTCTTATGCAAGGGACAATTTTCAACTTAAAGGGAACTTGAAAAACTTGAAATATTTGTTACTCACCCTAAAAGGCATCGAAGTTTAATGAAGTCACAATGGCTAGGGTTCTCCACCTCAATAACACCCCAGGGATATTGTCTTCCTCTTACTTTCTTACCACCAACGTCTAACACTGTGGTGGACCCTACCACTGCAAATGGTACTGCCTCCTTTAATTGTCGAACCTAAAATACAAAAATGCAACTTTGTTAATACTGTATATCTACTGTATTATTAAATCTCTTTATTACTGCATTTTACTCACCTCCTTTCACAACTCTTAATTCACCATTCTTTAACTCGTATGTCATGAAAATAGTGAGTGAAGTCAAGTCTACTAGATGTAGTTCTCTTTAGCTTCCATTCTGTGCAGTGAGGTAGTCAATTTCATTCCATATTTACTCCTCCCTAATCATTGTAAAGTACACCCTTTTCCCATATTTCTTTTTCCTATTTATATACAGTATATCCTTTTCCTGCATTTTTACATACCACTGTGGCTGACTATTATTACCACTGTGGTTGACTCTATCAATGAATTATCCAACTGAATATGTACCATCATATCATCATCCAGTTAAATTAAAGAACTTACCTCCTTTAAATTCCATCTTCAAATTAAATAATTAAAAAATAATTAAATGCATTTATATATAAGTGATATACTGTATTCACACTTTTTAATACAAAAAATTCAAACTTCAAATTTTCAAAGCTTTCTGGGTAAACTCATACCTGTTCTTTGTAATCCTCTTCTTCATCTGTGTCACAGTCTGGCAGTGGGTAAATGTGGATCCCATTCTCCTCAATTTCATCCAGAACCTAAGAAATGCACAATTCAGAACATCAGGATTCCATAACTAAGTACAGCATGCCCTTGAAATTCGAGGGTGTTTGGTTCTCAAAATGGCCGCGAATAACCAAATCCGCCAATAACATTTGCTGACCAAGGGGGGGGGGGGATATACATTTTTACTCGTGTACAAAGAAATGTATATTCCCTTTACAGTATGTGTTTGCCCTAAGGACAATTATTTATTTTACCTGTAATGTATATGTGTGTGTGTAGGCAAACACACACACACAAAGCATATACAAATAAAAATAACGGGAAAATCCTCTCACAAATAATCAGAAAAAAAAAACACAAAAATTTTTATTAAAAATGTTAGGGTCTACCCTCAAGTCAACTTGGTGCTTTGTTATAATTTTAATAACAAAGCACAGAGTTGACTTGAGGGTAGACTCACATTTTAATACATTTTTGTTGCCTTGTTTCTCATTATTTGTGAGAGAATTTTCCCATTATTATTTATTTATATGTGTGTGTGTGTGTGTGTGTGTGTGTAGACACACACACACATATACAATACAGGTAAAAGAAATTACAGTCTCTAGAATGAATGGCTCCCTGCCCTGGCTGCAAAAATGCCAGCAACTTTAAAACTACCCTTAGACATTCTTGGGTACATCCAGGGTGTCATCAACGAATAATCGAGGTCTACGAATTTTAAGGGAATGCTATACAGAAGACCCTCAACAACCGCAGATTCCGGGTATCCACGGTTTTTACTGTGTAAACCATTTCGCCAACTGAATTGAATTTGAATTGAAACAGTGGCGTTGAAATTCGAGTATACTCTACCCGGTATCTGTGGGTTAGCTTGGCATCTTTTTCCCTTCGTGTTCCAATGTATTCCACCGTAAATGTGAGGAATAAATCAAAATAATAATAATAAAATAAAAGAAAAGTACTGCACTGCCATTTGGTAATCGTTTCACTGAGGATATGGTAGACAGGAGTGCGCCCCACCTCCCCCTCTAATGATCATGGACAAGAAATTTTTATTCTCTTTGTTTTTGGCCTCATGATAATCTTTTTTTTCACATTCTGTATGAATGATTGTGTGTGCATTTAACGGAGTAAAAAAAAAAAAAAAAAATTACTCACTGTATATCTACCCGAAAATACGAATTGAAAATTAACAAGAACACAGCTTGGCCTGGTAGGGGGAGAGATAAGGGGATGTAGCTACAGGGATAATCTAACCTGGTGACCTGCCAAGTACTGTACACACACACACACACACATACACGTGAGGTCCTTCCTGTTAACACCAACGGAAGAGTTACTGCACCACATGGCCTACGTGACCTCACACAGTAGGGCAAGAGACCAGCCCCGGTCATCAGCTGTAAACTATAATTTGTATGTTCAATTCATGTTCCTTCTCCTTTCAGTAATGAAAACTTTTGTTAAACGACCCACCTAACCCATGTCATTGTATGTAATAAGTCATTTCTGTGCAATGTATATTTTCAGCCATCAGGGACTGAACTTTTTCAATAAACCGTTAATTATTATTACACACACACACATGCACTTCATTTTTCTTATTTTATAGCAACGTACTGTAAAATTTATATTGCTATTAATTTATATTAAGCTATTTTATATGCATTGTACTGTATTTAACTCAAATGTAATTAAATGTACAATACAGGTACAGTATTGTTTCATGAAGGAACAGTTAACTTAGTCTTGCCAACAACGGGTTTTGCAAAAACCCTAACCCCCTCAGTTGATGAGGGAATATTGTTCACAAGAGCATGTCAATTATTTTTTTATTTTATTTTTTACAGGGAATAGCTCACCCGGGCACAGGTCATCGACCCACAACGGGGCCTAAGGGGAAAAAAATAAGATTAAAAATAAATTATAAATAGAAAAGAAAAAGATTATTATTAATCTACAACACGAAGATGCCGGAAAACCAGCTTTTTGAAGTGAGATTAATGGACCAATTTTATTGTATATTCTCTATACAGTACCTGAATTTTTACTTGTTCTTATACAGGTATTTAGATTAAAGCACCTTAATAAGCATCTGAGTATAGGGGAGTATTTAAAAATTTAATTTTGTAAGTATGAAATGTGACAATGCTATGAGTTTAACAGTGGAGAGTATGGAACAAAGACTGTTCAGTAGTGTTGGCTGCTTTAAAGACAAAATTACATGATACTGGTGTAACATTTGATTGATAACACAAGGAGCTGTAAAAAGGAGAATAGGTGCAGGGAGTCATGGCCCACTTAACTGCAAAATTGCACTCCCATTTACTCAATTTGCCCTACAAATGACCTGTCTGATCACATCTAGTTGCAATATATGGCACTACAGAGAGACAGGATTAGGTAGAGGCAGTAGCAGCAGTAGACCCAGAGAAACAGATAGATAAAAAAATGGAAGGTCTAGGTGAAGGAGTGTGAGGCAGGAGTGTTGTCACTCAGACCAGGGTAACAGTGCCTTTAGTCAGTGGGTTCCAGCCTATGGCCAGAGTTTCCAGGGGCCACAGCCATTCAGGACATGCTAGAAGCATACATGAGGATGGTGATGGACATAAATAGAGGCAGTGGCAGCAGATTCTTTAACTGCTGTAACAAGTGGGATAGGCCACTGGCCTGGCCACAAATGGGGCCAAAATTCAGGGGCTTTTTTTTTTTTAAATGTCAAAGAGCATTTTCAGACTAATAGTATCACAGAAATTAATGTTGTCTTATTACCCTTGATCGAGAACTTGTTGCCAGAAGACATCAGCAATCTGAAGGAGGAAAAGGAGATTTCTGGCTACCACATAATACAATGTAATCAGATCTACTAGTCTATGAGGCAGAGAAACTACACCAATAGAACCAATTTGCAGTGGTAGTGTATTGGCTACCTAAAAACAGGGACCAAAAGTTGCTAGAAACTTTGACCTGACAAAATAGGAGACAGGAGGACCTTCCCACTCCCTTTAATTTCATGACTGGAGACTGCAATTTTCATGACACCATCATCTCCTGAATGCAGGAATGGGAATGTGACCTATTTCCTACTGTAAGCAATCACAGGAAAGCTGCAACTGCAGATTGCATGCATAAGTGGAAGTAGACCAGGGAGGTATTAGATCTGGTAGCCAAGTATCACATGCATAAGTATGTGAACCAGCCCACCAAGCTGCAGCAAACACTTGACCTGTTTTTCATAAAAGGCTATAAGTTGTTGTTGGATGTGGACAGTGAGAGCTTCCATGGGTTTTTCAAACAATTTTGTGATAATCACAAATAGCCACTACAGCAAGCAACATATTGCCAACAGAAACTCAGCACCTATAACCGAGATGGTGGGAAAATCTAGCAACTGGACTGTGGTAAGTCATGAATGAAGGGCTGATCACCAGTATTTGGTGTAACAGGATCACCTATTAGTGGGTTCCTTGGGAAAGCATAATAGCAGACCTGTAGGAAATGAACTGGTCCTTCCTACTGAAGCAGAACCCAGAGCTTTGCCTGGGGCTGCCACAAGAGATGGTACTGGGTGTGCTGGAGGTTCATGACCCTCCATACACGTCTGCAGCAGGTAAAGCCAGGATTAATCAGCATCACCAGTGGATGCAGCATGACAAGGAGTAAAATGGCTCCCAAGTGGTTGAGGATGAAGATTTCAGCCACAAGGATTGCCAGGATGCTGCAAGAGAAAAGGACATCAAGTCCTAGCTGGCTATAAGTTAGGGTAAATTAAAAAAAAAAAAAAAATAAGAAAAAAGACCAGGATATGGCTTGTGATAACTTTGCTAAGAATTACAAATATATTTTTCCTATGCTAAGAAACATTAACAGACCAAAACAATGAATTGCAATTTGAAAATTGGATTATCCTAAATTAGGACATGGTGTTACAAGACCCATATATTTTCCTCCAGCAATAAAATGGGAAATAAGGCTGGATAACATCTACTTCAATGAAGAAGACATCCAAAAGACATGCTCCGAGCTCTTCCCTGTATTTGAAGTTACGTTGGATAGGACAGTGTTCCAACTACAATATTGGTACACTAAGAGATATACAATAATGTCAGTTCCTCTCCACCTCTTCAAGAAATAATCTCTGGACATAAGATTGATGCCTTCAGTTCTTCTGCACACCTTTACCTGTCCATTATACAAAGGAGGAAGAATATCTGTACCAAAACTTTTAACCAATAGTTCTTAGTTCCCATATTATCAAGGTCTTTGAATGGGTTGTCAGGAAGCATATACTAGAGTACCAGGTAGTAATATAAATTTTCTCAGCAAGGGAGAGCACACTTTCAGGCTCAATGCTCTACTCTCACTCACTCTGATACCATTACTAATAACTTGGAGTAGAGCAATGGGAATTGACCAAGTTTAGGTGGATTTTTTTTATATAAGATTTTTACAATAACAACTTTAAAATTATTCTGTGAGCCACTGGCCAGCTGGAAATCCATGGTAGTCTAGGACTGCGGCTGGCCACCCTTTTGAAGAACAGAGAGTGATAGAGGCTGGTAACAAATCAGCCAGCTCATTGGTAGGGTTTGATGTCCAGCAGGGCATTGTTCTTGACCATATCCTTCTTTTCTCATTCTGATCAATGACACTGCAGCATGGACCAGCCCCTGGACAAGGGTGGTGTCATTTGTTGATGACTTTTGGGTAAACACAGCCAACAGGACTTCATCATTCAGCACAAGGTCCTGAAGACCATATTCAATGGAGTCAACCTAGTGCCTATGCAGATCAATGGAGATAATTTTAGGGCACTGTGGTAATGGCCAGTTCAGGACCTTGACAACAAGCCCACCCAGGAACCTTAGAACCAAAAGTAGCTGAAGGTGCAACTGTGTGGAGACCTCACATTCAATAAATACACCAAGGATAAGCAGAAAATAGCCAGGCATCAGGATGGTTGAGTAATGTGAACCTTTCCACTCAAGGTCAATGCAAATGCTGACTATCTCTGGGAGCTTGGTACAGCCTTAAGGACTGTTGTTCTCTCACCTGACAGGAATAGTGGGAATAAGGGATCTGAACAACTGGAAGAAGCTGCAATGTCTCCATCTCTACTTAAACGAGAGCAGCAAAGATGTTGTACCCTTGTTTGCATATGGAAGATCGTCATGAAGGAGAGGCACACTCACTCTTAGTATGTCAGCAGGACAGCACCTGATATTACATGGCATGCCCATGAAGCCAGCTGTCCTGTTTGCAGTGCTAAGGATATTCAACATGCTGCCAAATATCTGAATCATCTACAGTAACAAGGTGAACAATTTCAAGAAACAACTGGAGAGGTTCTTGGCTTCTGTCCTGGACCAGCCAACCATCCCAGGGAAAGGGTGGAGGCAAAATCTAACCTTTTCCTGTGCCAACTGCCATAGCCAGCAAGTAAAGACCTAACCATCAGTTGAGATCTCCAGTCACAGGCCAAAAGAACCACTGCTCCTAAATTGCAAAATAAATGACAAAAGATTCAGCAGGCAGAGTGAAAACAGCCTAATTTTTTTTCCTGTCTTCAGTATGACTGCTTTAAAAATGACTTACCATGATGTGTTTTTTATGAATATAAATTGATAACTTTTACAATATGCATTTAAATAAGTTTATAAATATATAAGAGAAAATAGGATATAATCAAAGGTACTGTAATTTTAATTTGTGATCATTACAAGCTCAAGGTATGAAATGACCTGTAATATTTCCTGCCTTGTACCAAGCAAACAAGTACAGTAAATCAATTCAACTTAAGCGTTGCTTCACATAAGTTAATTTACCCATTTCACTTTCACTTTGTGATAGAGAACTAATTTTGTAAATATATTCTTGTATGAGTATTTACCTTTCGTTTGAGCTTGGACACTTCCTGCTTTGTGAGAGTATCAGCCTTGGCGAGGACAGGAACGATATTCACCTTGTTGTGTAGCTGCTTCATAAACTGAATGTCTAGTGGCTTCAATCTGATAATAAAAATCACTATTATAATCACAAAAGTTCCCATTTGATATCAATGAAAATACAGATTGTGCATGAGATGGATAGAGGATGCTTGTATTGTTGAAGGCCAAATATAAGCATTTAAGGTCTGCAGGCATTCCTCTAACCTGTATATTATGTGACATGGACACAAATTGATATTTAGATAGAACAGGCTACAGTACTTTATAACAGGTTATATTAAGCTTAACTAAAAAATCTGCTAAGTGTAGTCAATGTAATACAGTACTGTATACTGTATGTGTTAATAAATATACAGTACAGTACAGTATACAGAATACAAATTTATGAGCTTTCTCTTCTCAGTGCAGAACACTACTACCTGATTATTTGTGTTATTTGTGGTTTTGACTACAGTACTGTATACACAAATGGCTCTGAAACTGTATAAGAAGTTACTGTACTGTATTTTACTGCAAAACTTTACACAGCTGCATAGATTGCATCTCAAAATATCCCGGACCTTGTGTATCTAACGCACAACCCAACCTGTGCTCATTCTTTGTAGTACTGTACTGTTAAAGGTTCTAACATGCTGAAGGAATTTTCATACAAGGATACTTAAAACCTGATGAAAAATAACATGAAATATATACATATAAGAAATACAATACAAAATATAATTAAAAGGTGTGTGCATAATCTCCATCTCATGGCCACACCGTCAACTAAACACCACCTCCATCTTTGCCATGTTTTACCAAATTAAAACAATAAACATGTAAGAATTGAGAGAATGCATAAAAAACTATTTAAGTTGTAGTAACGATTAACTTATTGAGAGGTGTTTTCCCACTCTCGCTGTCAAATGTTCTTTCACCATGCTCATATCATTTAATAATGTGTAATTTCCCCTCTAAAAATTTTTCTTTCCAAGAAATAGTCCACCTGGGCAACAGATCATCAACCCACAACGGGGCCTGGGGGAGAATACGTGAGAAAAAGACTAAATTAATCTACACCACGAAGTCCCCGGAAAACCAGCTTTTTAAGTGAGACATTGTAAGAGTATGGAAACACAAAAGAAGGCAGAGCATTCCCCAGTTTGGTTGTGTTGAGGAAAAGAGGATGTACTATAACAGGTTATTCTAGTGTGACCGACATCCACACAGAAGCTGCGGGCACTGCAGGCAAGGCGAGTGTTGCAAGCCCACTGCCTTGCCGGAGGTACACTGGATGCCAGTCTTCCACTATTTCTTGATACAAGGTGAGCTTGGCAAAACACTGACTGGTTGTTTTGCACTCAATATACATACAGTGGGGTATGCTATAACGAACGGATTCTACTACGAATATTCCTATAACGAACGGTTTTACCTATAAAATTGAGAATGCTATAACGAACACAACTCCTACAACGAACGCGGATGAATACGGGACTATTTCGTCTGGCGCATGAATATTGTTGTACCGCGGCTCACAGCAAGAGCGTCAGGCGCCATATTGGTTCATTGTGTAGTCAGTGCAACACTGAACTTGTTGAAATTCCGTCTTTTGATGTGGAAATTCGTGTTATTTTTATAACTATTTTGTTATACAAGTGTACAATTGTAACAATGAATCGTCAAAAGCGAGTGAGAAAGCTAATAACCCTTGAAACTAAGAAAGAAATTATAAATAAACAGACAAAGTGCCTGTAAGACAGTCACCAAAGAGGGCTAGGAAGGATGACGCCACTCCTTCCACCTCTTCTCCATAATTCTCTCCTCCCCCCTCCTCCACTGCCTCCTGTCCTGCATGCTAACAACATTAAAGTAAGATGAAGTACCGTATTTTTTACAATTTCCACAGAAATTTTTCAGTGTTAAGTGGTTGTATTTGGGGGCTGGAACGGATTAATCCTATAACGAACAAGGTTCTAGAACCAATTAGATTCGTTATAGCATACCCCACTGTACATGATTTAGTGTGAGTTCTAAAGAAATAATTGAGTACATAAGTAACTAACTCTTACTACTACATACTGTATATGTTTTAAAATAAGACAAACATTAATTTTTTTAAGGGAATCTTCAATATTTCACTAAACACAAACATAGTACAGTATATAAAAACGATTTGAGAAAGTTTGCAAAGATATATCATCTTTACTGTATCCTTCACTTCTCATTACTGTAATATTAATCCTTAGGCCCCAGGTGAAGTTCCAGAACGTCCACCTATTTTCCCGTCATTTTTTTTTTAATTAATTTTGGAAATGTTGAATTTTTTCTTGATTTAACCCCGGGTTGGGGTACTGCCAGCAGCACCCCAACCTGGGGCTTAAGGGTTAAGCAAATGTTTATTCATTACTGTATTGTAATATATTCTATTATAACTTCTATTTGTTTACTGAATCTTATGTGTCATCCTGATTATTACCATGTACTGCAATGTTTATTTAGGCAATTACTGAAGGTACACCAGGTCCTTGTTATTCGCAAATTCAAATACTGTACTTGTGAGGTCGGTCTAGAGGCAGCATCTCATAATCTCAAGAACTCCTACAAACATAAAAATAGAAAAGCGGTGCAATGTCCAGCTCTTCTACATATGCACTGTGTATGTATAGTGAACATATAATTTGCCAAAGTGTTCTGAAATGATGGAATTAGTGCTTTAGGAAGAAAAAGTGTGTCTGTAGATTTGTTTACTAAATCAATTCCTCACTGGTCGTTTTCTAACATACCTATGATACTGGAATGTATCATCCCGTTTAGTATAAAAACATTAAACATGTTTTCAATGTGTCATTTCTTAGAGAAAAATTAAATAGTTTTAATACAACACTATGTTTCATTAAATAAGTTCTTAAACTTTTAATAAATAAATATTAACGAAGACGGTTGATCAGCCGATGAAAATGTACTGGTAGTTTTCTCTAATAATAATACAAGGTAGCACATGTGTCAGCATTGTCCACTAGGCAAGGCCACCACCCAGCAATAAGCTGCTTGGCTACGGAAGCAGCAATCTGTCTGGTGGCCACAGTGACAAAGGTGCACTTCTTTCTTACAGCATGTTGTCATTTCTAAATCACTTTTATAGTAACATTAATCCTGTATAGATACCTGTATACAGTAGATTTAATTTTTGCAGGCGAAAGAAAAATAAGTTTATAATGGAGATAAGGCCTTCAGTGTGTGTGTGTGTGTGTGTGTAATAATAATAATAATAATAATAATAATAATAATAATAATAATAATAATAATAATAATAATAATAATTAATGGCTTATAGAAAAGAGCATGGCAGCCAGAAGGCTGAAAATACAGTTACATAATTATGGTAATTGGGGTTGCTTTGATCCATACATTTGTCCATGAAAAAGAAAATAGGGACACAGAAGATTAAAACTTGATATCAAAATCATATACATAATTCATAGGATACACCATCTTTTTTTTTTAACTACATACCCATGGCCAGCAGGGTTGATGAAGTAGAAGCAACAGTGGACCCGGTTATCAACAATATGGCGACGATTTAAACCAGACTCATCTTGGAGATATCGTTCAAACTGATCGTTGATATACTGGATGATCGACTGAAAACTGAAATTTAGGAAAATAAAATTTAAATCCGTCTCCTAAAATTAAAAATAATAACAGTAATAATTTCAAGAGTCAGAAGTGGTTGGAGGAAGTTTAGGGAGTTGCTGCCTTTACTAATGGCAAGAGCATTTTCCCTCAGTGTGATGGGAAAGAAGTATACGGCGGATATGAGAAGTGCAACGTTGTATAGCAGTGAAATATAGGCAGTTAAAGAGGATGACACATGCAGGCTCGAGTGAGCTGATATAAAGCATGGTGAGGTGGATGTGCAATATGACACTGAAAGATAGGAAACCCTGTTCAGAGTTAAGAGGGCAGTCTGGTATTGAGAGTACCGTATGAAGTTATGGTGAAGTTTTGCATGTGAAGAGAATGGATGAGACCAAGTGGGCCAAGAGTTACACTAGACTAAACAAACATAGAGGGAAGGAGAGCTAAGAATAACATGGGGAGACGTTTTAAGTACTGTACAATAATGAAATTAGGGCAAAGAACCTAACAATAAAGGCTACAAGAGACTGTGCAGCATGGAGAACTGCCATCAGGTAATTGCGGCTAACCTATGTGAGTCGTGGAAAATGGGCGAAAAACATTGACGATGATGTGTGTGTAAGGCAGCTGAGTGGACACAGTGTTCCCTTCCTCTCTCAAGGGTCGTTGGTTCAATACCTGGGCAATCCAAGCCCACCAAGCAGTATTTTTTTTTTGTAATTCTGATTTTGTTAAAAATCTTACATTAGGTACTCCTAAACACACTGAATAAGAATTTGGGGTAAAAAAAATAGAATACCCCATATTTGCTGATGTATAACACACAATGAATTTTGAAGAGAAAATGTATTTCTGTGAATACCAGTGCAGGTCTATGGTAATTACTGGAAAGCTTCACTTTGTGTACTGGCAGTGTGTTTATTTAGATTGGTTAACACTCGCAAAACAATTGTGATTATAACATTTGATATATATTAAAAGTGGAAATACTAATACCAAAAAAAAAAATTCAAATAACCTTAAATCTTCACATTATGATATGTGGGAAACCACAGATGTTGTAATGCATGTTTTCATGTTTTCAGCCTCTGTTTAAACACTTCACAGGCTGACATCACACTTGCAATACACTGCAAGTGTAAGCAGAAGCTCATTCGTGACCTGCTCGCACATGCTGATTCCTCGGCAATATATATTACAGTAATCCCGTGTTTTCCGCGTTTTTTTAATTGCAGTTTTGACAATTTGCTGGTTTTTTACCATAAAATTATATATACTGTATATAAAATATCCTTTAAAAACAAAAATTTAAATTTTGCGCCCTTTTCGACATTCCCCTATGCGGTGCGACAAACAGACGCCACCTGTCCCACCTCAGACACCCGCTGCTCCGAGAAGCCTCAGTCCACACGTGCCTACCATACTGCGAACGCTACTGTGATTACCTCTTCTGTTTGTCCTCCCACGTGCATTCCACATGGCTCCAGGATACAAGCCAGTCCCATCAAAGGCAAATATTACTAGCAAAGACTCTAAAGTGACCAAGAGATCAAGAATAGTGATGAACATAACAGAAAAACAGTTTTATTGGACAGGCTCAGAGGTGGTATGAGCTATGGCTCGAGATGTGGTGAAGACTGACAATTCATTTGTGTCTTTTGTCAGAATACAAGTCTTCAAGTGGAGGAATGTGGGTGGATGAGGACTGACTGGCTGGCTGGTGTGACTGCGTGAGGGCGGGCAGACACCGGAACAGCAGGGAGAGGCTGGCAATGCGGGTGTTGCCGACCTCAGCGAACTATAATTTTTTTATTTACTTGTAAATAATTTTTTTTGGTATATAACTGTATTTACGTTTTTCCATTATTATATTACAACATGATTAGTTTCAAATAAAGATGTTAGTAAATGCCGGTACAGTGCATCAGTGATCAGTGTGACCACTGGGCCGTGAGTGGAGAGCACGGCGTGGTTATGTGCATGACCTACCTGAGCTGTTGGTGGCCACAGGTACAGTGATTCCTAAAAGAGTATTCACGGTTCTTGCTTTTAGCGGGGGTTTCAGGAACGTAATTCCCGCAAAAAAAACGGGATTACTGTACAATATTTGTAAGAAATGCAACGATAAACACGATTTAATGTACTGGAAAAGTATTTTTTTAACACAATTGACTTGTTCTTGGTGGCAAAACTGGATTGATCTTCAGAACAGTACATGAGCTCACACAGACAACCAACTGTTCCAAGTTTTTAGCCTGTCACCTTCAGTGTACAAGACACAGGGTGATTTCAAAGGGCATTTTTGAGGGGGGAAATGTGTCTTATACACCAGAAAATATGACAGCAATTAATTGTTCTAGTGACCCTAGAAGTAATCTCACTCCATAAAATTTCACATGTTTTCCCACTACTAATTACAGTACTGTATTCACTTTATGTCAAACCCTGCAGCTATGACCAAGAAGCTTGGTCATAGATCAAGCAGCTGGGTAAGAATGATCTCCCTGTAATACACAGTGAGTAAACTAGGTTACTACAAATGTTTGTAAAAAATAAATATTGTGATTCACATGAATACTCACCAGTCTGTATTATCAATGGCATCGCCATAACCTGGAGTGTCAACTACTGTCAATCTGACTTTCACACCCCGTTCTTCAATCTCAACTGTCGATACATCGATCTTCACTGTTTTCTCAATATTCTCTGAATATTGACCACGGAAAGTAAAAAATAAAGTGTTATCTTCACATAATGGTCATAGAAAACAAGCCGATCTACATTATAACTATATTATGTAATGTTCTTAAAATTGGGTCACACTCTACATGTCTAGCCTGGCCACAAGATAATGGAGACTGAAATCAATGAAAGGGCTGCAAATAAACAGTTACAAACATATACAGGGTAAGTATAGACACTTGAAGGCTTATGTTGGCTGCACCAAACTTTCATGACAAAAGACACACCATTCTAACCAATATGAAGTCTTACAACTGAGTACAATACAAATAAAGTTTGTGTCTGAAACTTTCAGAGTAGAACCAACTGCCATTGACATTAGTATTTTGTTAATTTTGTGTCCAAATCCATAATAACTTAGAAAGAAAATACCTGTACAAGAATGTGAGAACAAGTTATCATTATATATTTGTGTAAATACACTACCAGTACTAGCTGGAGAGAAAATGAGTACTGTCAACAGCTAATTTTATTTTTTTGCATATTTTTTTCAATAGCAATCAACAATATTTGATTAGTTTATAACCCCGAGACTTTTTTTCAAATTTCAAATAAAGATTAAAACATATTTTAATATGAGCCAATCCAAAGATCATCAAAGTAAAGTAGCCAACAAAATTAACTCCCTGAATATAGTAGCACAGTACATAAGTGATTTAGTTCACAAATTCCATGAAATCATTAAAATGGAAAAAAAGAAACCTGTAGGTGATTAAGGGATGAATTGTTCTCTGTAAAAATATTGGTATTTCTTATCACTGGTTCATTTTAATGTCGCAGAAGCGCCAGTAAAACTCCATTTACTGGTTTGTTACATACAGTAGTCCCAAACAGATCTTAAGAGCAACTGCTATCAGGCATGTACCAGTATAAATGAAACAACTTTCCAACACTAATGAATACAACTTTACCTTGAAGACCAATGTTCATTTCTCAACATTTAAGTAACAGATATAAAACCTGTGATTGTACAACAAAATACACCATTGGCTACAAAATGTAAGAATGACAATAGGTCCCACAGGCCTGGTGGCCTATTAGGGCAGTGTGAATACAGTACATTGTAATAAGTGACAAAAATGTATACAAGATGAAGCTTAATCTTGTCTCCTGGTTTTGTACTTCAACAGTGATAAGCTAAAAATTTATGAAATGCTGTACAGGATCTTGAAAATCCTTGATAACTTAAACCAATGGCAAAAACTTACCTTGAGCAGAGGCCAACACTCTGTCAGGGTAGAGGTCAGTGAGGAAGAGGGTGTTGATAAGTGTGGATTTACCTAAGCCACTCTCACCTGTTTAAGAGTACAGTACTGTTAAAACAGACAAAACCTTATTGTATATTATTTCAATAATATTTCTGAAAGGTAGTAGAGGCCTAACGTGAATAAATTTAGTGTTAAAAAACCAAGGTTGTTATAGTACGAAAACCTTATATGCACTGTACAGTACTGTATATTTATACAGTACAGTACAGGAATCTACCATATTCTATACAATAAAATATATTAAGCATAAAACAACAAATACAGATTTTATTAGATGCATGAATGATGGCATACTGTATACTGGATGAGCATGAAAATGTAACAAAAAAATGTACAATTAGGCACAACAATAACTCACTCACCTACTACCATCAAAGTAAACTCAAAACCTCTCTTTACAGATTTACGGTGGATCTGGTTTGGAAGATTCGCAAATCCAACATATCCTGGCATGTCTGGATTACTGAACTGGAAAACAGAATCAAAATGTTATATTAAATTACATAGCCTTAGAGCTACACATTTTTCACAATAAATTGTATTTGATATTTTTCACGCCACACTAAAGTTTGATTATGATTCGATCTTCCTATAAATTTTCATTCCTCATCAGATTTACAGTAATCATATGCCCAATTTTTGTGTTGTAAGCAAATTTACTCATACAGTACTGCTGTGAACATCTAGGTCTATGATATGAATAACAGTTCTTGAATGAGGGTATATGAAATAAAATTTTCACAAGAATGAAAAGACAAAAACAAAAACAAAAAATAAGAAAACCAAACTGGATAAACCAAGATTCCTGTTAAGGATTTGGATGATTCCCATCATCCCATTGTACCAGTAGCTTATGAAATACTTTCCCTCTAAAGAACAAATAATATTATAAAATGGGAACCTTAGGTGTTAAAAAACAGTAAAATTGTAGTTTTGGTCATCCCTTAACCTAACCTAATGTAACCTAACCTAGCCATAGAACCCAGGAACTATACCTAACCTAACCGAGGGGCTATTGATTCCAATGTTAAATTCCTAAGATTCACCGGATGACCGAAACTAAAATAATACTGAAAAAACAGCAAAGTATCACCACATTATTTGCAGGAATGAACCACTAGGTACTGCTTTGTGGTTCATTCCAATTAATAACAGAAACAGTTTAGTGATGTTTTGTTTAACCTACAAAACAGTAAAGGTGCAGAGGTAACAACCCATACCCTTTCCACACTAACCCGGCCCGTAAGCCCCGCCCCTCGTCTATTGCTACAAATAGCTGATTGGTTCCCCTGAGCGTCTTACCCCCACCACCCCAGACTGCATGTGTACACGCACGTATTTATATCGACCTTTTCTGATAAATATTTAAATTTTTCTAACATTTTCTCTGAAGTGGTAATGCCCCGAAATCATTTGCAGTTCGATAGCTCACATAATTATTTCACATTATTTTTGATAATAACAGGTCTGCTTACCAATTGTGAACACATTTAATTTGAGTCTTCTATGAACCAATCAGCCATTAGTATGGAAAAGGGGCGTGGCTTACGGGCCAGGTTAGTGTGGAAATACTTATTACGGTACCACCTCTTAAGGACCCCCACTGAAGAAAGTCTAACGATTTTCTTGGGTTCTCCTTAAGTTTTACTTTGCTGTCCATACATATGATAAAACACTGTAAACCTGTATGCTGATTTCACAAAATAATAAAAAAGTAAGTATTTTTTTCCTTCTTCCACAAACTGATGGGTATTCTGAAGACAAGAACAAATGTTTTAATGGGCACATTAGTTAAAATAAATCAACATAGCACAAAATAAACTTCAAACTTACCTAGCACACAATACTAACCAATGATCTTGAAGGGAAATGGGTCAAACTTAATATTAACCTACACCTTCTTGACTCAACACTTTAGCACGATAAGGGGGATTCAACTTGCCACTGGTAGTATGGTTATCTAATCTCTACCTTGAGTTAAGACTTTGAAGCAACTGATAGACAGCTACAACATAATCTATAAGACGGGGATAACACTCTACACGGTGACCTACTATGCAACAGGCCCGAGGTTCTAATAAGGTAAGCGGGGTCTTAAAACATGCTGGGGACTAACAACCTCTCAAGTCTCATACCGTATCAGTAGACATAACGTGACTCCCAGGAAGAGGGATCGGTGAGGGTTGTTAAAACACACACACACACACTAGCTGGGGAGGTGATCGGTTGTGTTGATGAATCACCAAGTTCCTCTCTGATTTGTTGACAAACGCACACTGTTGCCCCCGATGTCAAATGAGAAACTGTGGCTAAACTCCCTAAAAACTATATAATGGTGACAGTAACTAAATGATTTGCATTATATTTTGTAGTATAAAGTATTAACGATAATTTTTTTTTAATTATATCTGGTATTTCTGTCTGTAAAGTATTTTTGCACAAGGATCTTAATTTGATCAGAGAGATGTGGTAACTGGTGGCGGGAGATGGGTGTGGCAGAGGCGGCCAGGCTTTCCGGTTAACAGATCTTCTTCTGCACCCGGAAATACCACTTATTGTGTTGGATATATTTAAAATACACAGATGAAAAATTTAATATCTTTCATGAATTAAATCGCCACTAATTAACGTCAAACATGACAATAAACGAAGCAAAGTTCAAAGATATTCACCATGAAAAAACAACAGGAATAAATCCACGTGATATCACATTTCTTACATCAACTATTCGCAAATCTATGCAGGTCAAGGCTACGTGATATACGAAAATTTCACACAAGGATTCAATCGATTTTTAAAGATATATGACTTATAATTACCGGTAGCTAATGAAAAGTTCCAGTCGAAAACAAAAAGTTGTACTCGCAACTTTCTAAGCCTAAAATGATCCAGTTTCACCCAACACTACAACAAAACTGACAAGTGTTGCACATTATCCTGACAACACCTCGTACGATAATTATGCTTCTTGCAACTTTCTTGCTTTTCTAGGTTAATCGACTTTTTTGTTTGCCATTGTTTGTATAACTGTACTGTCTATGTTCAAACTCAACCAATATGAATATGCTTGTGGATTTTACTGAATATCTATCTAGCTAACTGAAGATGTAAAAATTAATTCACCTTCCTGCATGAGTTATGCAAGAGCACAAAGTTAACATACAAAATTCTCAAAGTTACACAGGGACTTGAACAAGCTGGCACAAGCCACCAGACAAAACTAAGATATATATATATATATATATATATATATATATATATATATATATATATATATATATATATATATATATATATATATATATATATATATTTTATAAAGTTCTTGTACCTTAATACTATCTCTTAACCTATGTTCAGTGATTTGATATTAACTTTGAATGTTAGCTTTGTGTTTCAGCTTAAGCCAACCAGTTAAGTGCTTTCTTGCCTCTACGGACCACAGGGAGTAATATTAGTAGTATGGTAATTTCTGAATACGGACACAGGCTTACATTAACAGAAAATAATTGTTGCATGATTTATTTACATCAATCCCTATAATCTGAAAAAAACAACATATATAGTATCTTATTCCTAAACCCAAAAGTGCTTTACAACTTGTCTCTTAAAAGCCAGACGACCAACGAGAGGCGGCGCAACAAATGAAAAAACAACAACTTAGACTTAGGAATTATAAGCCGTACATTTAAATAAATAAAAATAAGAAAATGCTCCCTAAACCATATTAGTTTCGGTAAAGCCTAAGTTTCGGACCATAATCCTTCTGGTGATGAAGCCTAGTTTTTCCGACTGTTTTTTTTATGTTTTATTCGATTTTGATATTGATTTTCGTCGGAAATCAATATCAAAATCGAATAAAACACATAAAAAAACAGTCGGAAAAACTAGACTTCATCACCAGAATGATTTTGAGACCAAACATAACCTAACCAAACAAACCTAACCAAACTTAGCCCCTGACGTCACGGTCGACACACGCTAACGTGGACGAAGGGCGACCCATGTACAGAGGGAAGATGAAAAATAACTTAATTTTTTAAGGTAAACACACCACATATCTCGATTATTATTCCTTTGCGACAGAAGTGCCAGAGAAGAAATGTCTAATTTGGCGAGTTAGACCCTACCTCCAGAAAGACTTAACATCCCTAGAAAAGGCGCAACACAGAGCGACTAAGATGATTCCTGAAGTATATCATCTCGACGATCTAAATAGATTTACAACTAACAACTCTCACACAAGACACAATAGGGCAGATCTCAAAGAGGCATTCAAAATCCTGAGCCCAGGCCACTTTTCCTGATGCCTCGCACCACTAACACGAGAGGACACAACTTCAAGCTCGCTAGGATGTTATGCAGGACAAATCTTAGGAAATACTGTACTTGTTCATACGGAGGAACATTGTGAGAGGAAGCTAAATCAAGCAAATAAGCTAGTAGGTGTTATAAGAAGGGCGTTCACTATTAAACCTCATTGGTACTGTTACACCGTCTGGTCCCCGAGATATCCTAGACATTGTGAATTAATTGAAAGTGCTCAAAAGAGGGCCATTAGACTGGTGCCTGAATCACGGCACCTCAGGTACCCAGAGAGATTAGAACACCTGCAACTGCCTATCTTATACTATAGGCGGGCAAGGGACTTAACACAAGTCTGTAAACACATCAGAGGTCATTACTCAGTCCAGTGTTCATTACTGGAATTGGTGGATGCCTGCCCCACCAGGGGTCACAACTTAAGGCTGAAGAAGCCTCAAGTTAAGAAAATTGTCAGGGCAATTTTAGGGGGAGTAAGAGTTAAGAACTTTGGAACAATCTGCCAGAGTGTTGTGACGGCACCGAGTGAGTTCATTCAAGACCAGACTTGACCAACACTGCAGCAGGTTCAGATACATTCAGGAGCCAGTGCATGCCCGGTACAGTACTTGCCAACTGTGTGTAATGGAGACGTGATCAACCACCCAAGCGGCTAACAGGTCCATCAGTGATGAAGAGGATAAATTAAAGTGGTACACCTTTGGAACAATCTACTGGCTCAAACTGTGGAATAGAAAACAGTAAATAGCCCCTGACAAGACTATCAAGAACAACGGAGGGATCCTACACAGACCACAGGCCATCTTTCCTCGGCATGGCCACCTCAAGTTTGAGTGGACCTTAGGTAAATAAAATAAATAAGGTAAATCACGACTCTGGTGTAAATAGAAATGTAACCAAAACGTACCTAACTTAGTGGTATAGTTACAGAGGACGTGTGCAGTAACTTCATTGTGGCGACAGTCCTCTAAAGTTGGTGCCTTAACTGTGACATGAATAAAAAATAGCTCTAAAAACTTACTGGATTTTTCTTGACCTTGACACATCGCCCCGGGCTGACAGGACTGTTGGGTGAGCGAGGACTGGGCAGCGGGCTTATGTACGGTGATGACGTCATCTCTTCCTCCTGTCACCAGTTCACAAAAATAATAATAATTTTAGTGGCAGCTTTGTGCAAAAAAACAAACAAAGAAATTAAATATAAATAATCAATGCAGATTAACACAAATAACTACAGCTAAGGAATAAAAATAATACAGTAATAGTTTTATTGAAACCCATAATTTTATCCCATCAATTATAGCCTACCTGTATAGGAAATATAAATAAATAATAAGATTTAAAAAGTTGTTTCGAGTAAGCATTTAGAGTTTAACTAAAATTATTATCAGTGTACATCCGGGCACACTAGCTAATGAACTATACGGTGTAAAACATGAAATATATTACACATAATATAAAAATAATAGTATCGACAACAATAAAAATGCCAAGGAAATAAAATACTAAATAATGAATAACGATGAAATCCAACAAACATCTTTGGTATCTAGATAATGAAATACATTCTCTGTGTGATTGTCTTTATGGAAGTTTCATTTTCATTTCCACAGTTTTGAAGAAAGACCGAAATTTGGTAGGGAGGTGTGGGGTGACTGAGGGATGGGTCGTGTAGCCTACTATCTCTCTTGTCACACGTCCCGGTAACTCAACTGGATAAAGATAAATTTTGACTCCGTAGAACCCTTATTAACTTATTTTACTTATCTATGTTACGTTACGTGGGGGTGAATATAATTTATTTTATTTTTATGTGAGTCACTTACTTCTGTTACTAATTTGTAGGCTGTATGTATACCTCAGTGTGTTCCGAACTAGTGGCAGTGTTACGTATACTGTGCTCACATCACTGTAATTCTAAATGACGTTTTGATTTACCCAACGATGGTCCAGTTGTTTCTCAAAGGTCAATACGCTTGGTGACCTCGTGTAAGACCCTCGTAGACGTGTACTGTACGTTAATCATCCCCCTCACCCTCCCTCACCCTCCCCTCACCTCTCACTGGGGATAACAGAACACATCCCTTCATGGTCGAGTTCTCATGCAATTTGGTAGCCATTTTGGGTGTCAACTCTGCGTAGTAGAAGACACTAACCAATTAGAGGGTTAGGTTAGGTTAGGTTAGGGTTAAGGGTGGCTAATCTTCAGGTGTTCCTACAAAGCCAACGTAAAAACCAGCTGCCTTAGGATTTATGTAGGAGAGATGGTGGAAAATATGGCGTCGAAGTTGAACTGAGACTCTTGGGTATAACACACACACACACACACACACACACACACACACACACACACACACACACACACACACACACACACACACACACACACACACGTTTCCTTATCGCAAGTTACGGAGAGGAGAAGAAAAACGGAACCCAGCAAACAAAAAGAGGGGGGGGGGACAAACAAGCAAGAGAGGACTGGTGGTGATGGGGGCAAGGGGGGGGGTGAGGGAGGGTGAGGGAGGGGGTGAGGGGAGGGGTGAGGGAGGGGTGAGGAGGGGGGAGAGGAAGCAAGGGCGTGTTGGGTTGCCGACTGGTCATGCCACGCGACCCACCCCCTCCCACCTCCTCCTAAGGAACCTGTTGTGTGGAGGAGGAGATACTCAGGAAACATGGCACCAAGACGTAACGTATTAAGATTGAGTGAATTTTAATGGTTAGGTTAGGTTAGGTTAGGGGAATAGTAAGACCAGGGACCCGTTTAATTAGTCACCTCACCTGTGTGTGTGTGTGTGTGTGTGTGTGTGTGTGTGTGTGTGTGTTTATCTTCATTATTAACAAACCAAAACACATGTTCTAGATTTACACAATCGTACACCAGTAAAACCTCTCTCTCACACACACACACACTCAACCACACACACACTCAACCACACACACACTCAACCACACACACACTCAACCACACACACACACTCAACCACACACACACACTCAACCACACACACACACTCAACCACACACACACTCAACCACACACACTCTTTTGGTTATCTGTCAGAGTTAAATACTTCAGTCAGACCAACAGTGTAAAGTAAATCTTTCTTCCACTCAGAATTACTGTACAGAATAAGACACCAACCACGACACTCTCTTGTATGCATGACCACGACACTCTCTTGTATGCATAACCACGACACTCCCTTGTATGCATAACCACGACACTCTCTTGTATACATAACCACGACACTCCTTTGTATGCATAACCACGACACTCTCTTGTATACATAACCACGACACTCCTTTGTATGCATAACCACGACACACTCTTGTATACATAACCACGACACTCCCTTGCATACATAACCACGACACTCCCTTGCATACATAACCACTACACTCCCTTATATACATAACCACGACACTCCCTTATATACATAACCACGACACTCCCTTATATACATAACCACTACACTCTCTTGTACACATAAATAGTTTCCTTATTTAAATTCTGTTTTCAAATCCACGTCTTCGCAGATTTTTTTTTAGAATAATCGAGAATTTAACTGTAGTATTTTTACGTATTTCAATTAGTTTCATCTCCCACTGTGTTCATGGATCAGCTGAAGATTAGCCCCACCCCCTTCAGCTGATGTCACTTGGAGATTAAACACTTTTATCGCTGGTTAGGTAAGGTTAGGTTATGATATGATTAGATTATGTTATGTTATGTTATCGTAAGGATGTTAGGTTAGGTTATGATATGATTAGATTATGTTATGTTATGTTATCGTAAAGATGTTTAATCTTTAGGTGAAATAAACTGGGGTGCCAATCTTCAGGTGATCTATTTCTTTAATGTTAGTTTGTTATGATATTTTCTTATTGTAATACAGGATAAAGTATAACAGTTATGTAAATCTCCATAATGTTACGAGAGCGAGATATACGGACAGAGAGAGGGGGGGTGACAGAGGGCAAGAGAGAACCTAAAGCGGTGACAAGGACAGGATGTTACTGTGATACACGACTGATTGTTACGGCAGGAGAGTTGAAACGCGAGAGAGAGAGAGAGAGACAGAGAGACAGAACAGCAACACGTAAACCACATGCTGGTATACGACATGATTTGTCTCTCAATCAACAATAACATCAACCTATATACGCGTCTCTCTTCTCTATTGTATATTCAAAGTCTGGATGGACAACGATCACAAACCTACATTAAGATTCCCTGATATAAAACGAAAACAAAAAATAAGAGTCTCAGTGACGCCAGCTTTTCTATTGAGAGTCGCCTGCTGACTAATTTAGGACCGCGGGAGTCACAACCCTACCGGCAGCAGGAACACCTCGTCATATGTGGTACCTAACTTCCTCCTCTTAACCCCTAGCCTGGAGCCGTCCTCGTACACCACAACAGTGCTCTCTCTACCTGTCATGATAAACACCCTGGTATACAGTGACGGGAAGTGCCTAAACGCAGTAAAGTAAAATTAACTAAACGACCGGAAATAACTGAAAACGTCCACATCGTAAGAAAATTTATATCGTAGCTCCAACAAAAAGAGTAAATACGTATTTCAGATACGTCAGAATACATGATATCCAAATGAGATTGGTAGAAATGAATGTCGATATACAGTATGTTTGGCCTGAAGAGTGAGTCTGAGAAGGAGTATTGTGTGGCGTTATAATGTAAGGTGGAGACAGTTGCCAGGCTCAACTCTCACTGTACTGTACTGTAGGTGGTCGTAAAACTGCAATGAAAAAGAATGACAATCGTGTTGATACCTATATACTGTACACCCAAGACAGTGACAGCAGCACACACACATCTCCCAGAGCATTTCAACAAGGTCATTACCCCGCCACCACTAACAGTACCTCCCCTACTACTCTCCCCCACCACCACTCAACAGCATCTCCCACTACTCTCCCCCCACCACCGCCAACAGTACATCCTCCCTACTACTCTTCCCCCACCACCACTCAACAGCACCTCCCTACTACTCTACCCCACCACCACCTCAACAGTACCTCCCCACTACTCTAATCTCACCACCACAACAGTACCTCCCCCCACTACTCTTCCCCACCACCACTAACAGTACCTCCCCTACTACTCTTCCCCACCACCACCAATGCACTCCTCCCTACTACTCCCCCCCTGCCACCGCTAACAGTACCTCCCCTACTACTCTCCCCCACCACCACCAACAGCACCTCCCCACTACTCTCCCCTGCCACCGCGAACAGCACCTCCCCCACCACTCTCCCCCACCACCACTAACAGTACCTCCCTACTACCTCCCCCACCACCACCACTAACAGTACTCCCCCACTACCTCACCACCACTAACAGTACTCCCCTCTACTACTTCCCCACCACCACAAACAGTGCAATTTCCCCTACTACTCTCCCCCACCACCACTAACAGTACCTCCCCTACTACTTCTCCCCTGCCACCGCTAACAGTACCTCCCTACTACTCTCCCCGATAGTCTTAACTCACATAAGAGGCGTGACGTAAGAAACAACACCAGGAGTATTATGGCAATCATCTTAGCTTGGTCAACTTAATGGTGACCGTCTCCACTCGGTGTCACGTCGTCTTGTTTATCAGTCAAGTTAAATCGTAAACGGCGTTGATCCGAGGTGCGTGACGATGAATGACGTGGGACAGACCGACCGCTGTGTGTAAAAGAGGCTTCAAATGGACCCCTTCTCCACTAACAAGAGGGTCCCGTCAGCGCCTCAATGCCACAGGGAGGTAAATATTTTGACAACGTTGAATTGTACATGCTCTCATTTCTCTTATCTAAATGACACAACACTGATGCAGGTCTCCCATTATCTCTCTCAAATAACACATCGATCTCTCTATATTTTCTTCATTAAAAAATAAATATATAGTACACAAACCTCACAGACTCATCCCCACATGATAAACTCCAACACTCCCCCATCCCCACGTTATAAACTCCAACACTCCCCCATCCCCACGTTATAAACTCCAACACTCCCCCATCCCCACGTTATAAACTCCAACTCATCCCCACATGATAAACTCCAACACTCCCCCATCCCCACGTTATAAACTCCAACACTCCCTCATCCCC